CCATGGCACTCACTCTAGCCCGGGCAAAAGAGTGAGACTCTGTCTCAAAAAAAAAAAAAAAGAAGGCTATTCTTAGTTTATTGTATTTCTTCCTCTCGTTTCCCAAGATGAAGACAAATCAAAACTTTCCGTATTCTTCCTTGGATCAAGGGGGAAAAACCAAAGAAGAAAGGAAAGCAGGCACAATGCAAAGTTGTAAGAAGCATTCGCCATTCTTTATACATAATCACATAGAAAATCCCTTCTCCACATTTATGCCAGTGAGTCCACAATCCAGTTGTGCAAAAAGGAAGACAGGCCTAAAGAATATGACGCTTCCCAGTCATGTTCTCCCACTACAAACCTCTGCTTTAAAAAGTGGGAGACTAAAGTGCTGTTATATCCATAAATCAACCTTAAGAGGTTCTTAAATTTTTTTTCTTTATTTTCTGAGGTGGGAGCTGAAAGGAAGACTGTCTGGATAAGTTTCTCTTAGTACAGTAGTTAAAAATTTCAACCCCTAACACCATCTGATTCTTCTTAAAAACAGTGGTTCTCGTAGTGTGGTCTGAGGACTTCCGGGCAGGGGTCTCTGACATACTTTCAGGGGGGTCTAGAAAATCAAAACTATTTTCATAGTAATATTATGACGTTATTTACAACTTTCCCACTCTCATCCTCTCACCAGTGTCGTTTTCCTGTGGCTGCAAGAGGTGGGATATAGCAAAAGACTGAATGAGAATCCAGCTGTCTTCTATTAAGCCAGACATTAAAGAGACTTGTCAAAATGTAAAAACATTGCCACTCCTCACTAAATTTGTTTTTGTTTTGGAAAATATAGTTATTTACCATAAAATGCTAATTATGTTAAGAAGTAATGTTAGTTTTAAACGAATACGTAATTTTAAGATTCTCAGTTTTATTTTCTAAAAAGCTAAACACAGACAGCTAAAACCCACAAACACAAAAGCTCTTAGAGTCCTCAATCCTAAAGGTGTAAAGTGGTCCCATGGCCAAAAAGTTTGAGAATCGCTACTTAAGTTTTTGCTTCTTCTCCAAAGAACCGTGCAGAAGATACCCAACCCACTCCCCTCTGACTTCAGAACCTTCATCTAAAACTCACAATCCCTGGATGTCAGCACATCTCAACAGAGTTCCACGGGAAGTGTCTGAGATCTTGCGCCAGTTCAGTCCCTAATTTTCATGAGGAAAGTTTCCTGTCTTCTCTGAGCCTCAGTTTATTTTGAAAACGTGAAAGAAGTTCTGGAGCATAGGAAGTACAATATCTTTTCTAGCTCTGACACTCTACGATTCTACTTTCGCCTTGACTCTTTAACTGATGGTTAATTCCATGAGAAAATTCTAGATAAAACTAGCCCCTTTCTCGCCACCTTGCTGTAAACGGCTCGAGGTGAGGGATGAATATCGGGCAGACTCATGATGGGCAGAACAGCGGGTGGCAGCGAGACTTAGTGGCAACTGTCCTCGTAAGCCTGCCCATTCTCCCCAGCCCGCCCCGTACCTGCAAGAGGCGCCGGCACACAGCTCCGAACACTGTCCGCGCCGCCATCTTGCTGTCCTGACCTCTCAGGATCACTTCCGAGGTCACAGCGACGTCCTCAAACCATAGAGTTCAGCAAAAGGAGAGAGTATATCCTCCTGTTCCGGTACAGGAACAACCATAGAGACGTGACAACTTGCTTTTTAAGGGTGGTACAACGCCTGGCTGACAACCGGTCTAGATAAAATTGCTTAAGCCCAATCTAGACAGTTATCAAGTCCCATCAGTGTTTTCTCCTTCCAGTCGTGTTCGTGCTATATGGTTACTGTTTTGTTGGAGGCATACATAAAATTCATGCTTGGAAAAAATACATAATTAATGTATTGATAGCGGTTATCTTTGGGTAGTAGAATAATAGTTGATTTATTTTCTTATATATTTTTCAAAATTTTAACAAATCTTTATTTTATTAAAAGAAAAAAAGTCTACCACTACTATTGAGTCCATTTCTCACCCTGTTACCTTATTGCAATAGCCTTCTAGTTATGTTCCCTAATCCTACCTTCCTTCCCCACACCAGATGGAATTGTTGTGTTCCATCCGTCTTGTGTATCGCTGTCCTACTGTTCTTCCTAAATCATTTATATCCTTATCTTACTCTAGTATTTGAGAATTTATAATGGCTGCCTTTGCCTACTATAACAAGCCAAAAATATTTTTAGTTATTATTGTCCACCATAATTTTCTGAAATAAAATTTTTTTCATTTGTGCAAATTTCTATGCTTTGTTTTCCCAAAGTGCTTTCACATATGCAATTTAGAATAAAGGACAACTCTGGGCAATTTAGAATAAAGGACAACTCTGGACTTAAAATCAGGAGATCTGATTTCTAATCTCAGGTTTACCACTTAGCTGAGTGACTTTGGGCAAGTTACTTCCGCACCCTGAGCCTCAGTTTTCTCATATGTCAAATAGAGATGGTAGTAATAGTTCCTACTTCAAATAGTTGCCATGAGAATTAAATGAAATACTGAGGTATGAAGTTTAGTACAATGACGCCGCATAATAATACACAATAAATGTCATCCATTATCTGTAATATAAAGTTGTTTCTACCTTACCTGCTTCACGAAGTTATTAAGAAGATTAAAAACAAAAAAAGAATTGAGTTTATGAGAACATTTTGTAGCATCTAAATAAAGTATTGTGCAAATATAATGTTGGTTTTCTCAACACAAGTAGATATTACTTACACTATTTTGCAGGCAAGAGAACCACGGAAGGGGTAGAATGATTTGCCTAACATCACACAAGTTGATGAAAGCTCTAGGAGCAGAAACCAGTTTTCCTGCCCCTCAGGCTGGCCCCTGTTCACTAGAATTCAGTCCGTGTGAAGTGTGGCTGAGATGTCCGGTGTGGTCCTACACCAGCATATGGAAACACCACACTCCACCTGTGTGCACTTCTGCAAGATTTGGCTGTGTCCTACCCTGGCGGACTGCCCAGTGCCCTTTTCGGAATTAGGCTTTCTCTCTGAATTGTGAGATTTAAGGTGGTCTCTCACAGCCAATGGGGTTTCCCAACAGCTTCCCCACTCCCAACTCTGTTGCTGCTTCTAAAGTTTGCATCTGTCTGTCCATATCGCACTTCTGTGAGGGCTCCTCAGCCTGCCTCTATCCCCTTTGAGCAGCCTCAGTTGGGTGAGTGTTCTGCAACCATAATGATGGTGACATTACAGCTTGCAAATGACTTTTACCTAGTCTGATCCTCACCAGAAGACATGAATTTTATCCTAATTTTATAACTGAGAAAACTTAGGCTCAGAGATGAAATGACTCACTCAAGGTCGTATGGTGAGTTAGTTAAAGCTGAATCAATAACCATCTTTGGAATTTAGTTCAGTGCCTTATCTACCCCTGCAGTGGGCTGGTACTGATTCTATGACGAGGTCCATTTCTGTGTAAGTCTCTTTTGGATGAAAGGAATAGAGATACTGACCACTCTATCACCACCCCAAAAGAAAAAGGGGTTTATTTTTAAAGACACGTGTGGCCTAGAGTGCTGCTGGAACTGGAAGAATGTGCTCAAAGCACTCTTAGGGCCTGGATACCCTGTCCACTCCTCAGCAGCCAAACATGGTCTTTTTAATGATGGGCTTTCTCTGGTTACAAATAGTTTGTATAACCTCAGGGCTCTGCCTGGCATGTGGCCACTGCTTGCTGCTTTTGGCTCACCAAGTTTCTTCATTCATACCCTCAAATGTGGGAATTTGATTTGGTACTTTCAACTTCCTGGGCTAAGCCATGTCCTGTGTCACCAAACAGCCTATGGGCCTAATAATGTGTTTGAGTCAGGTGACAATCTGGTCCCATTAGCTGGGGCAAGGTGGGAGTCATTGTAGGGCAGAACCAGGTTTTGCCAACAGCAGGGCTGTGGACAGGGCTCTTTGACATGGTGTGTGGGCAGGGACGGGGTTCTGAAGCTTGGCCTATCCACTATGGGTCTCTTTCCTACAGCCTAAACTTTCAAACATCTGACCTCATGCAGATGAACAGGAGGCCAATGATTCTACATAGTTGATGCGAGTAAACCTTGCTTGCTATAAATATCTATGAAAAATAAACATAGATACATCAAATACTCGTAAGTTCAATCATATTTGTATTTTTATTTTTTTGTCCCCAAAATTTGTATGTTGAAATCCAATCATATTTTGATTGCACTAGTTGTTCTGTTTTCAAATGATTCTCTCTTTTCCATAAAGGAAATAATCAGCCCCTTGGCTCTTTTATACAAAGATCCAAAGATCACTTACAGTCCATTTAGGAATAGATTATTCACTTTCTTAAAATGTCTTCCTAATTATGTTTTGCTATGTCAACATTAAAAGTAATCCACATTCCTAGAGCACATCTCAGCTACCTGGCTGTGGCTGATGCTGGCAGACAGGGAGTAAATGGAATTTAGAATTGACTTTAGGTAAACGCCAAAGAGGTTTTACTTACACACACACACACACACACACACACACACACGCATGGATAAGCATACCTGGGAGACTAGAGAGGTAATTAATTTAACAAATAGTTGCTGCACACCTGTTATAAATTGCTATGTATGTGTGGGTGATGGTGAGGGGGTTCAGAATATTAATAAAGCACGACTTTTACTCATCCCAGTGGTGGAACTGGATCTGTTCCCAGGCCCACATACATCTTCCAAAGTATTACATTCCTTGGCAGGAAGGAATCATGTACAGCCACCGTTACACACTCTCCTCCCCCACGTATAACACAGTATGGAGTAATGCCTGGTACATGGTGGCTCATGAGGACTAAGAAAAAAGTCTTCCGATTGGACACCCAGGCCCCTGGAAGCAGGATTTAAATTTGTAACACTGGCTAAATGCACACTGCTTCTAGAGGAATAACTCTTTTCTTTGCCAAAGGACTAAAATTAATAGCTAAAATTAAAGTAAAAAACCAAAAGAGCCAAGATCTTGAATAGGCACTGCCCACCTGAAGCAAATTCTGTATATACTCTAGAATTTCAAATTTCTTCTAAAGTTTTCTGTTGACCATTAAAAAGTAAACTTACTTATCGAAATTTGGAAATGAAGATTTAAAATGCAATAAATCAGGGTGGACAAAGATTTTGTGGAGGATAAGATACTTGCATGTAATACTAAGCTCCCTGATCAGACCTCTAAACCTGATGTCTACAGAAACCAGGTAACAGGTAAATTCACATTAGTCAGCATTGAGGAGTCATTTCAGTGGCTAGAAAGAAAGGATATTAAAGCCAAATGAAACTCAAAAAGATATTTTATTTTAAGAGCAGCTGATGCAATATTGAATCAGGTTTTCACAAATAAATATGACAGTGGCTATTTGGTTACATCTATTTGATGAATGCCCACTTACAGGAACTGTAATCAATTTCCGAGAAGGCTAATGACTGGAACCTGTGAAGGAAAATTCTCCTGCTTCTCTTTCTGAGAAAGTATTGTGATAATTAAAAAAAAATGCTTATCACTCAGGGGGGGAAAACAACCTAGAATGACCCAGTTTTTTTTTTTTTAAAGGAATGCACCTTTTTAGGACAAGTCTATAAAACATCTTTATTTATTTGTTACATATGATGTTTAAATATAACTTTGCTTTCAAGCTTCAAACTTTTTTAAACCCCTGGTAAAATAAGACTTTTGGTTCACCTTAACAAAAACTGACCTAGGAAGAAACATTTTTAGCAAAATGTTATTATAAAATTCACTAGAAAATACTGTCCTCTTTTTGCCAAAATGTTACATAAAATCCTTATTAAAAATACACACATTACAAAAGAAAAATTATGAATATGCTATACACAGTGCTTTGATATGGACCAAGAGACCTGCATTCCGGGAAAATACAGTTAAGCACACTAGATATTATGATGTCGACTTATTAATAGTGCAAACCTGAATAAATTACATCCCGATATGGAAGGCATGCAAGTCATTTGCTGAGAATAGAACATAATGAAGCCAGGACAGGAAGCAATCACAACCACTATTTAAAAATGTTTTCCTTTTTATTACATTAATTTTTTTCAAAAATACTTTTCTTTACAATAGAACTCCTAGAAAATATTTACAACCTTCCTCTAATAAAATATAACAGCAGTTAAATATATTTGAAAATAAGATGGGTTTTTCCATAAAATATATCTGTTAACTTTTTATATACAAGCTTTCTCAAAGAGGTCTAAATTCACTAATGAAAAAACCATCTGATAGTAAACAGTAACCGAGTTGAAGACATTGACCATTAGGAAGAAAAGTTCTTTGGGGTGGGGGTTGGGTGGGGGGAAGCTAAAACACAACACATACATGCAGGCAGAATAATTTCAGAAAAAAAAATAAGTGCAATATTTTACTAGGAAGTCAATTCTTTAAGTTGATAGTCAAGAAATACTAATTCAGGAATTTGAACTGTCTCATTAAGGAGGAGTTCTTTGGTTATTTCAAGTCAAAAATTCTTAAGCTATACTGCATGGAAAATTAAAAGTAAATTGTGCATTATATTTTTGCCATGGCAACTCAGTTTATTTTTAATGTTTAAAACCAGAACAGCTGGGCAAGTCTTCAAACACAAGGAATACATTTGCTTTATAAACATTTTTCTGGATGTTTGCTCCTTTGATAGATCAGCTTCCATAGACCCAACAGCAGCACCATTCTAGACTCCCCCTCGGACACTGGTTGAGTGGAGGGAAGCAGTGACGGGGACAGATGATCAGCCAATGACGTGACAGTGCAATGGTTCTGTCATCATTCTGCCACAAAGTTGAGGCACACTGCCCAGGCAGCTCTTAACTCAAAACTGCTTAGATAAAACACAGAATGGAATAAACTTTCCGAAACGGCAGCAAGTGAAACCTTTATTCTCTAAACAAAAGATGAAGGAAAACTCTTAAGACCTCTTCTCTGAAAACAGAATGATGGAAATGAAAAGCATCTCTGCATTTTTCTTCTGTCCATGGCTTTCCTGAGATTCAGAGACCACCGCGTGTGTGGGGCTGCTGTGGGCCATGCTGGCCCCTACGAGTGTGTGCTAAATGCTTCTGCAGAGTCAAACTTAAAAGATGCTCGGCTCCAACCCTCATGCTTCCACTGATACTCTAACGTCAAGCTACTAATGTGCCAGCAGAGTGGCCTAGCACGATAGCCACACTTACACGGAGCTGGGAACCAGCATACCTGGGGTGGGTTGAGGCCTGCAAACACCTGCACCGAAGTCACACAGCATTAACACTGAAGGGGGAGCCATGAGCAGGATCCTTTCTGTGCTGGGGCTGCATCCCAGTCTGACTTTTGCCCGAACAGTGGGATGGGTCAGTCTGACTCAGCTCAAAATCTGGGCTAAACGACATTTTTGAAGGATTACAGGTTTATTACCTTCAAGTACAAACAGCAACCCTGCTGACAGGGACAGGAGGAGGGCAGGGCAAAGTCATGTAGTTTGGAGAAGTCTAGAAGTGCTTTGGTAAGTGACTTAGAATGAATGCATTCATTGTCTGAACGCAAACATTTTAGCTAAAGTGTACCTGACACCATTTTCGTTGGTCTTCGATGCTTTTTCTCTTGTATTTGCTATTACATGTGTTAGAAAACTCTCATGGCTAGTGTCAAGGTAAACTTCAGTCCAGCAGATGTGAATTACAGCAAAATCCAAGTGAATGACATTTCACAGTACTTCCAAGTGGCACAAAGTAACTTCAGAACTCCGCTAACCATTAATGGTGTTGCAAAAAGAATAGGCTCTTCTGATCTACTTTTTTGGGCAAAAGAAAACGTCCTGGCATTCCAGGTACTTCAGCATGAACCCTTCAACCACCCTAAACCGAAAGCAGTCCTCCTGGCAACTTAATAATCAGGGTATCTGCTTCCAGATAGGTCTCTAGTCAGTTCATGCTAAAACACAGCTCTGCCACCCACTGCTCAGAGTTGACCAGTCCCCAAGGAACATGCAAGAGGACCATTGCTCTATTAACCAGGTCCTTGATAAATCACTGCTGGGAGTAAAAGCCTAAAATTATACAGTACTCCATTCCTGCAAAGAGTGACAGGCAATGCAGGGGAAACCTATTTTCACACTTGATCAACCCCTCACATGACGTATGTGAAACACAAGGCTTACTGTGCCCCTGGAAAGCTACCCCTTAGCAAAGAGTCTCCTGGCAAAGATGCCAAGCTCACTGCAAACTACGGAATGAGGTCAGAACAGAATAAAAGTAACTCTTGGTTGGAAAAGATGGCCCAGGGCCCCAGCACGAGAGGGCAGCCTGCTTCACACACACACTCACAGCGAGCTTTGGGATAAAAGGCAACCACGACGGTTGACTTCTGAAAGCAATGGAACATGAATGTCCAGTCATTCCCTGCCGGGGATGACTTTGTGAGAATGTAGCCCAGATGAAACACCTCTTAAAAATCATTGTGCCAATTATTTATTCCCCCCCAACCCCCACAAAAACAATTTTTCTTTAAATAAAAGGAACAGAAGAGGGATTTTCTTTTCCCTAAACCTGAATAAAACGACCACTTTTTAAACAGGTAGTTTAAAGGGTTACAAAACAAGCAGGCAGTCCAGGTTTCCTGATTGATGAAGACAGAGGCCATGGGTTTTCACTGTCTCTAAGCGACAAGCAGGGCTTTATAGTTCCGCGTCACCCTGAAGCAAAACTGAATCTTGATCATCCAAGAGAAGATCAGTGTCCACGACCTCGGCCTCTTCCATGACGCCTCCTAACTGCTGGACGACGTCGTCGTCGAGGATATCCACATCCTTGACGGGTTTGATCAGACCCAGCTGGTCCAAGGGCAGCAGCCCCGGTGCCCCCACCGGCCCCGTAGTCCTCTCGATCGTGGCTGCCATCTCAGCCGCAAAAGCTGCTTTCTGAGCCTTTTGCCTCTGCTGTTCCTCCTGCTGCCTGTGAGTTTTCATGTGTGCATTTCGGCTTTTGATCTTGAAGAAGACCCTAAAAACAAAGAAGAAGAAGCATGTGAAACTTAGAAGGGGATGTGAATTCCTGCAAATATGGGTATCCCGCAGGGAATGGGGGTGTGTGGTATGACAGAGTCCCTGGCCTCTAGGACCTTCTCTTCCTATGACCTGTCACCTCTTCTCCCTCCTCTCCAAGCATTACAAGGAAAGGGCATGGGGACAGGAACACACTGATGGGGCAGCAGGCTTCCTTCCTGTGATGACGCAGGAGGAACTCCCAGGGGCCCTGCCGTTCATCTGGGGTTGGAGCACATGCCCTTTCTCCCTGTCACTAGCCAAGCCCGCTGCACCGGGGAATCCCCGTGTCGTGCGAACGAGCTCTGACAGGTCCCATCACAAAACAACCCATTATCCCCCTCTGGCTTCTGGCCCTGTTCTTCCACAGCCAAATTCTTACTCACTTATTTATTTATTTGCCTTTCTCCACATGTTCTAACACAGACAAAATTCCCGAAGGATCTGCCCACACACACTTGGTGGGTCTCCTCCAGCCTCTCCAATCGGATCACTGTACCCTCCACTTCAGCCCAGCTGCCCTTCTCAAGGTCACCAGTAACTGTGCGGCCAATGGCCCTTCTTCTGTCTTTGTTGTACTTGACTTCTGAGCTGCATCTACCACTCCTTTTCATGTGAGACCCCTTCTTGTTGGCCAGTTATCATCGTAATTTCCTACTGTTGGCTTTAGAATAAAATAAGTTCTCAGCTGGAGGGGGACCAGGAAACATTTGGCAATGTCTGGATACAGTTTTGGTTGTCACAACTGTGGTGGGGGCAGTGGTACTTCTGGTGTCTAGTGGATAGAGCCCAGGGATGCTGCTAAACATGCTACAGTGCAGGGGACAGCCCCTCTTCCCCAAACAAGGAATCATCAGACCCGAAATGTCAATAGTGCTAAGGTTGGGAAACGCCGGGACAGAAGGATATAGTATTTCTGGGGTTAATCCTCTAGACCTGGGGTCTACAAACTATGGTCAGTGGGCCAAATCGAACCAATTTGTGTAAATAAAATTTTACTGGCACACAGCCTTATCTATTTACGTATTGTCTATGGCTGCTTTTGTACTACAGTGGCAACACTGAGCAGATGTGACAGAGACAGTATTGTCCATAAAGCCTAAAACATATACTATCTGGACCTTTCTCAGAAAAAGGTTTCCCAGGTGTGAGACTGTCTATTTATAGAGAGGGTCTGGCAGAAATACTCTATATTCATTCCTGAGCTGATAAAGGAAAAAAAACACCAACCCCAATTTCCAAGGCCAGAGTCGAACAGGGTTGAAAAGTCACAATTCCATTTGGACATAGTGAAAACTTAAATGTGATGAACATAATTTCAGCAGCTAAAAGAGGCATTCTGTGAATATTTGCCTAATATTGTTCCCAGTCTGAAAAACCACAGGAAACATTTCTATTTTGTATGAAATCTTAACTGGACGTCAGGTAGAAAAGTTTCCAAGCAATGCTAAAAACAAGACAAACAATAGCAGCAACACTTAATATTAACAGATGCCACTGAAAGACCGCCAGAAAGCACGAAATACCGATTTCTGTTTTGTTAAACCATCCTTTGTCTCCACCTGGTGGAATATGGAGTTGTAGCCTGTTTGTGCCCAGTTAGGGGAAGGTGCTGGCTCCTCTCAGGGGAGACTGGCAAGACCTTGATGTCTCCACACCTGCACTCTGGGACAAACAGGTGGGGGATAACTGTGTAGTCAGCTCAGGGTAGGTCCATTATTACTTCAAGTAAATAAGCCTGGTGTTCAATGCAGGGACCTGTGTCTTTGTGGTTCACTCAGTGTTTGGCGGGTGGTGACATGAAGATGACATCACGTCTGGGCTCTCAAGGACAGCAGAGCATGGAGGAGACCAGCACCTAGACCCATCTCTCCCATCCTTGCGCTTCACAGAGGGTAAGAGATGGCTAGTTCCAACTCGCTTCAGTGGGTGCACCGAGCTGCGCTAGGGTGACTCAGAGGCAGCACAGCACAGAGGCTAAGAGCACAAGGCCAGGCCAGCCTGCACTGTCTGAATCCCCACTTGGCCACTTTCTGTGCCTCAGTTTCTCCCTGTAAAAAGAAGCTACTGAAAGTACCTGCCTCATAGGGCTATGGGTTGAATGTCATATATTGGAAATGGAAATTATTCCCCAGTGCAACAGTGTTGGGAGGTGGGGCCCAATGGCAGGTGTCTAGGTCATGAGAGCTCCACCTCATGAATGGGTCAATACCAATTATAAAAGGGCTAGGGGCTGAGAGTTCAATCTCTTACTCTCTCTGCCCTTCCATCATGGGATGACACGGCAAGGCCCTTGCCAGATGCAGTTCCCTTGGCCCTGAACTTCCCAGCCTCCAGAGCTATAAGAAATGAATTTCTTTTTAAATTATCCCGTCTGTGGTACTGTTACAGCAACACAAAATTGACTAAGACAACATGTAAAAGATCCTTTAAAACAGTGCCAGGCACATGTGAGTGCCTGATAAATGGCAGTTACTATTAATACTAAGGTACCTGCTCTGTTCCATTAAGATAGGATAGCAGAGGTCCCACTAGGCCTCGCTTACAACTAGGGGTGTGTTCATGGTAGAGTTCAGCAGCTACCTGGTTGGCATCTGTCCAGATAACACTTCTCTCCACGTTCGAGGCATTGGGAATGATGGGAAGAGAATGACAATGTGATACTCGTCGAGTCAGGCAGACTCACTGAGAAGTAAACTGGAATCCTCTACTGGATGCTGTGGGAGGGAACCAGCATCTCGCCATCAACGGTATTTGCTACCTACAGCAAATAAACCGTGCAGCAGTGCCCGGGAGCCCAGGCTCTGCATTCGGACAAAGCCGGGTTCAAATCTCATTTCTGCTCTCCACTGCAGGTGTGTCCTCAGGCAAGTCATTTTACCTAACTTTAAACCCTTACTTGTGAAATGAGGATAGAAACGGTATCTGCATTACACAGAGTTTCTGTGTAAGGATTAAATGAGTTCAAACACACAAATGTAACAAAATCAGTGTTCAGTCAATGCTAGCTGTTATCATTACTACCTCCTGTCACCTTTCCCCTTTAGTTGTTTTAAATTATACCTAAAGAGGCAGGATGACAAATAGGTTTTATCTCGTGTGTCGACTCTGACCAATTGGTTGTGCCAGCTTCCAGCATTACAATGAAAAGGATTTGCAGACCTGTCTTAATGTGATAGCAGAGTGTGGTGATTGATTAGTGATGTCTGTCCTGGGCAGAGAAGTGAGCAGTAGTGGTAGGGGACCACATACGAGCCGTCTCTGCTATAGAGAGTTCCTGATTAGGTGTTCTAGAGACATTCTCAAATCATTCCGCAGGGACGCAAAGAGAGCGACACTAATGCATATGGTTTAGGTGTGAAGGGAAGCAGTGGGAATCAGAGTCCCGTCCACCATTTCTGGAAATGAGTGAAGTTTTGTCACTAGAGGTTCACTCTCTGAAGATGTCCATCCTTAGCAGGCTCTAAGATGTCAGAATGGCCACATTCTGAGCCAGAGACGAGGTCCACAGTACAGATCCCAAAGATGAGTTAACAGTTTCGAGAGTCTAGGACTCCAGGTTCTTTTTCCGGCTAAAGAAACCTCAGGCCACCTGGGCCTGGTCCTCACAGAGCAATTATCCACCACAGACTTAGATCCAGTCCCTGGTCCCATTGCACCTACTTGCCACACTCCTTGCAGGGGAAGATGGTGGTGGGGTCCGTCTCGCCGCTGGTGGTGCTGTGCGAGGGCGAGCTCTTCACCGAGCAGTACCCGCTCTGGGCCCCGCCAGGCTTCTGCTTCCCGGAGGGGATGGCGCCTCGGGCTTTGGTCACCTGGTTGGTGCCCCCGTGGATGCGGGCATGGCCGTTCAGTGCCTGTCGGGAGCTGAACACCTGGGGAAGAAAGGGAGTGACATGACATCTACAGTCCTGAAAAGGAAATCAGGGTTATTAGTTACTCAATGGTGAACATGTGATACTTGCAACAGTGTCTACAATGGGCACGAGGGTTTTGTACAAGCAAACTTTGGGCATACCCCACAAAAGTAAGGCTCAAACACCACAACCACAACTGCTGTGCCAGTGACAACCTCATCATGGTCATGACCAGAAGGCAAGAGGCAGTGTGGCACAGTACAAAGGATAAAGCTGCCATCTGGAAATTAAGAGACAGGGTTCTAGATCCGCTCTGTCGGAACTAACAGGGAAGCCGTTAGGCCAGTTCCCTCCTGTACACTTTAGTATTGTTATTTTTTTCATCTGTAAAATGAGGGGGTTGGACCAACTTTCAAACTTTTTTTTAAGCCAAAAATTACTTCCCTCCCTCCCTATTTTACTTCCTCCCTCCCTTCCTTCCTCCTTTCTTTTTTAACAAATCAGGTCTTACTCAAAAGCTCAAGCTCAACTTAAAAGCAGAGGTGCTCTGGCTGCAATGGAGACAGCACCCCAGAACCCAGTCTGTTTGTGCAGCTCTATCTACCCCCAGGAAGCCCTAGCACCCCAAGAACCGTTTGAAAGACATTGATTCGGTACTCTGACATATTCTATACATTAAATGAAGCCTCAATCAGTAGTCCATTATTGAAACGATGTTTAAAACCCCAAATTTTAATACAGAGTGATAAAAGAGAAAGGACCTGGACAGTATTTTTAAGCTTGCCATAAAGCTGGGCTTCTCAATCTCAGCATGACTTCCATTTTGGGCTGAATAATTCTTGTTGTGGGTGCCTGTGTTGTACCGTGTTTAGCAATATCTCTGGCCTCTACCTACCAGATGGCAGTAGCACTTTCCAGTAGTGACGAAAATGTCTCCAGACATTGTCAAATATTCTTGGGGGAACACACCATCCCCAGTTCAGAACCACTGCTATAAAGGGATGTGATCCACACCCCTGAATCCCAAGAGCCCCAACTTTGAGCTTGTTAAACTCATTGGAGGGAGTACCCGCTGAGCTGTCCAGCTGCAGTGGTTGCTCTGTGTTAAGTTCATGGGCTCTGTTTATTGTCTTACAGAGAAAATAATCTGTTGTCAATTTAGAAACCAAAGCCTCCACCATTAGGCCAGGAATAAAACCAGCATGCTTTTTCCCCCGTGACTTTTAAAAAGTCATTAAAAAATATCTACCTTGCGGAGCATTTCTGATTGGGAAAAATAAAAAAATGACTTCCCACTTGGTAAACAATTTACTGTATACCAAAACTAGGAGTTGAGGAAGCATTCAATTTCTGAACACATTCACTAAGAAATACTGTCATTTAAAGTCACGTCTTAATCATCCCTGCACCAAAGCGCTCTATACAAAATGGCAACGATGGAGTGAAGAGGCCAGGTCATTAAACATCAAAGACGGAAACAAGCTAGCAATTTCTTCTGTTTTCTCCAAAGCTAATGCAAAATTGATATTATATATATATATTTTTCTTTTTTACTTTTCCATTTTTTTCTTAAACGTGAATCAATTTCAATCAATTTCTGTTTTAGGATCTAAAAATTTTAAAGACTTGCTTTCTCCATCTAAGTGACAGACTCCATAAGCAGCCTTCAATACACTCCGGAAAACAGTACCGTCCTACGTCACGTTCAAGTGAAGACAAGACTCTAAACTGCGGAAAACCGGTCTTCTCGTGAAAGGAGCAGCATTCTCATTTTGGAGGTAAACCTCTAGAACTGGCCTATGTAGGTGTGCCCGGCTTTAAGAAACCCGATTTGGGAAGAGTTCCCCAATTCAGACTAGTGGGGGACCAGTGGGAGAATAAGAGTCCAAAGTAAACAACCTTTAAAGACATCCTTGAAAATACATACGGGGCTTTAGACTAGGCCAGTACAGATTCTGTAAGGCCTTTCTCTAGTGCTAAGAATCACCAAATGGTGAACTTGTTTTACTTTAGCTAAATGGTGCTTCTAAAGTACTTGAAAAGTACAAGGCTAAGTAATTACAGAGACTCTCTTTCAGCCTGTTTACATGATTAATTTACTTAGTAAATCTTTCTTCTCCCACAGAGTACAAAGAAACTTTAGCTAAATCTTTGTAACAACTTTTTCAAATTTTGAACTAGTGACATTTGAATTAGTAACACTTTATGAACTACGAAACGCAAAACCTTCCAGACAGGCAAAGCTGCAGGCGGCGGGGGCAAGCAATTATGTCATAAAAGGACGATTTTTGTCTGCAGGCTGGTGCATTTTTAAATGCACACTGCCAGGCACAAGCCTGTGTGACGCACAGCCCCGGCGAGTGCAGGGGTCCCAGTACAGATTGGAGGCCAACACTCGCTGCAGAGCTCAGAATGACACACTTCCTGCAGGCAGGCACCTTCGTGTCCTCCAGCATGCAGCTCCGTACTTGACATGGAACACACACCCTGTAAAACCTGTTGGCCAAATGAGTAAGCTGGCAATGGCAACCTGAGCACGCTCTGCCACTTTCACTGCTGAAAGCGCACGCTTTCAAAAATGCATCGTCTCTTAAAGCCAGGCACAGCCGTACGGCCCTCACTTGTCCCAGATCCCCAGACGACACACAGACACTTACAGCCCCACAGTTGGGCATTTCACAGACGAAGGAGCCTGAGGGCTGGCCGAGGGCCTGCAGGGGCGGCCCCTCTGTGGGAGCCAGGACGGGGACCGGCGGCGGCTCCGGGGACTTCGGCACCTCACTCTCCTCTTCTTTTGTGGATTTCCTGTCTTCTTCCAGGTCCTCCTCTTCCTCCTCTAACTCTTCTTCTTCTTCACTTGTCTAGTGTTAAGGTAATAAAAGCAAGAGGGGAAAATCCCCAAATAGCATTCTTAGTGACGAACGGAACTCACAGACCAGTAGAGGAGAGAGGGGCTGGATGCTGGGCTGTGCCGCTTTCTTTCTGCGTCAGGCGCTGCCAACAGAGCCCGCTGGGCACAATCATCTGCACACTTGGAGTTTTGAGGTCAAGGAAGTCAGTCCCCCTACCCCACTTTGGGTCCCCTCATCACTTAGATAAACATATGCTGAGGCGGAGGAGAGATTTCCGTCTGTAGAGATCCCCCTTTCAAGACCACCAGATCTTGGAAATGACTAAAACTCTGCCCCCTCACAGCAGTGAGGAGGGATTTCGAGCTGTCACAGTGCTGCGGAACCCCCCTTGGGGACAGACTGCAGACACGATGCACTGCCACACAAGATGCCTGATCTGACCCACGGTGCGTGGAGAGCACATGGCACATGGGACACTCCCGCTCTGGGCTCGTCAGAAAATAGAACGAAAGGAGGGAAAACGGAAGGGGAGAGTCGCTTTTATTTCTCATGTGCTTTTTTCTTTTGTCTCTGACCATGGGCTTGGAAAAAGCAGTGTATTCAAGGTTTCTATTCATTCATTTTCTCCTATCTTGTAGGCATTGTGTGAAAAAGAACAAGAAAAACGTTTTCTGTGAATAATTATCCCTTCTGCTTCTATGTCCCCTCTCCCCACTTCCGATCGGCAGCCACGTGAGAGTTAAGCAGAAGGTCCCTGCCCTCCTCAAGGGTAACAGAACAGTCAGTCACTGCAGCAGCTTGGAGTGGGTGCCCTGTGTGTGTGGGATGGAAGGGCGGCCCGGGAGGCCCTCATTCTGCCTCTTACTCAACTAACTACTGCATTCTGCTCTCTCCGTCCTTCCCAGAATAGGGGTACAGGGTGTTGGCACCTGCAGGCCCAGAGCTGAGGACCAGAGAAAGGGAATTCAGTGTTGTATCAGTCTTGTTTCAGCTTATATTACAGTTTGCAAAGTGTTTTCACATTTACCGTGTCACCAAATAGGCTGTGAGCAGCCCTCCCATCTTACAAACGAGGGAGGAAAAGGCACGCGCAGCTGCCTGGGACCTGACAGGCCATTTGTCTCTGACAGGCTCTTTTTGCACACCTACCACTTCAAGCATGTGTGCTCCAGTCCGCTTCACCCCTCAAGTGACGTAAGTCTAGGGGGGCCTATGAGTCCTAGAAGCCAGAAGCAAGAATTTCCAAGAAGAATAAAAATAATTTCTGAGAGTAGCGGCACCCTGCGACACAGAAACCACGCGCATTCCCTCTGCGGTTTGGATGTGGGGTTTGTGTGTGCGCAAGAAACACAACGCCAGTGAGAATGAGGCAGGTGGCATGCCCGCTACTGTTTCAGAATTGTCCGCAGTTAACATCACGCAGACGCATATTCAAGATGATGTACGAACAGGATGTATTTAAGAAATGGCCCCAGGTTCCAGCAGGTTAAATAGGATTAATTAGTGATGATTACATTTGCTGGAAGACCTCAATAAACACTGACGTAGGCCTCACACATTTGCCAGAGCAGTTTATGATATAAGCTGCAGGTCTCTTACGAGCACAGAACGTACAGGCTGATTTCACATAGACGGTCTTGTTCCTGTAGGACTCCACCATCTTTCAGTCCCAGAGTTTCAGGCAAAACCATGTTATGTCCAACTCTGAGGGTCTGCCCCATTCCTTTATATTAATAGAACGGGGACACTGCGGTCTCAATTATTAAGCAGACCATGGCCTACAATTTGGCATTTCAAATGAATTACATAGTAACTCTTAATGAGAATGGCATTTGTTTCATGGTACATGTTATAATTACAATTTTCTCGCAATGCCATTATTGGGCTTATGTACTCTTAGAAGAAATACTCCATATAACCACAACATTACAGATTAAATTATACCGTACTGTCATTATGTATATCTCAGGAATTAGACAGGCTTTATTTCAGCTGGTAATCTACAAATCACACAATGATTTATCATCAAGCCATATGGCTCCCCAAAGTGACTAAGAGATACACAGATAGGAGGACAATAATCTTAACCTGGAGAACTGTGTATCAACAAGTTGGCCATTTTATGATGTATTGTGAAATAAAACATTTAGCAATATTCCAAAATTAGTAGAAGGTGGGCAAATACAGGGTGGGGAGGAGGTTATACATTTAATATGGTTCTCAAAACCTTGGACGTCCACAATTAAGAGTTCCTTGAGGAGGATATTTTTATTTCTCAGGCATGCAAATGGAATTCATATTGTGAGAAACTGGTAAGTTAGACTACAAACACTAAACAACCCAAATTTGCCCAAAGATATACATCTGAGTGTTGAGTGTCACTAATGATAATGATGATGACAATGTACTGAATGCCTGCTATGAATCCGACATCACATATACACACGTGTACACGTGCACACACACAAATTTCTAGTTCTCACAACATTGTACAAATTTTTTTTTAAACAACTGAGGAAACTGGCCAGAGAAGTAATTTTCTCAAGGTCACATAGCTGGTAAAGAAGCTGAACTGAGATTCAAAATCTGGCCTGACTCCAAAACCCCAGCCTTCTTCACTCCTTGGTCCTGCTGCAAACGTCCACAAATGCAATCTGTCCATCTGTAAATAGCTACAGATCCTAAACCTCTCAAAACCAGTGGAGCCAGTTGCCTTGAAGTGTCAAAGGGAAGGAGGATGTTTCCCAAGGCCCTGGTCGATGCACCACGCTGCAGGGGACCGGTGCTGACTCTGTGGGTGAGCTCCACCCTGGCCCTTGGAGCCGGGACTGCTGTTTCCCAGCATCAGTTAACTGCCTTACTTGGTTTCTTGAATTGTGATGACTTTTGGTCACAGCCAGCACCACAGGTTTGTCCTGAGTGGGGGACTGTGAGCACAGGCAGGGGACAGGAAGCCGTGGTCAGCACCTTCTCCTCCCACCCACCTTGGCCCCCTTCCTCTGTCTCCCAGGGGGAAAGGGCCTGTGACGGCTCAGGCCAGAAGTCAAACTGCCCCTGCTGAGTGGGCAGCTGTGCTCTGTTGACCTCCTGGCTACCTAAAGAGTGATCATTCCTTTCAAACCTCCTTCTGTTCCCGTCTCCCCTTGAAGTCCTCTATGGCCCCTGAGCTACCTGAGCATGTTCCTTCATGTTCCATCTGAAGTGAAATGGTCACCTGGCCCTTTAGTAAGACACTGAAGACACAGGATCAGGAGAGCCATCCCAGGTGTCCCAGGCAGGCCCAGAGGACAAAGGGCAGGATCACATCCTAGGACTGCATCTTTTGCACTCTCTCCCGTCCTTGTGTGATCCCCGTTTTTCATCTCCACTTGGCAAACTATGTTCAGAAGGCTGACTATGCTCCCACAAAGGAGCTGTGCACTACCTTGCTGGCCTTAAGTCAAGATTTTCTTGTTTTTGTGAGCCTGAGTCATCTCTGCACATAAGCCCTTCGCTTTTTCTAAGCTCACAAGTGAAGAGGGTGTGGATACTCCTGACCCAGCCTAATACCGGTTCCTGGTGAATACGCCTAAGAAGGTGTGGCCCCCTTGGGCACCGTCTTAACCTCTCCTCCTTAATCTCAGGCTACACTTTGGCCTGGGCCTTTCTACCCATCTTCAAAGCCTGGGCAGCCCAAGATGGTGCCCTGCCTTGTACGGTAACACCTTCATTAGCAGCCTTCCTCTGCTCAGCATCCCCGTGCTCCTTCCATCTCCCTCCCGTGAGTTCGCAGAGGGATGTTCTACAAACCAGAGTGACTCCTATCTCGGGAAAACATTCATTCAACAAGTATTTACTGAGTGCCCGTGTTGTGCCAGCACGTCCTAGGTAACACCCAAGCCTAAGAGATACCAATTTACCCTAGGAGACCACATCCTCTCATTTTGCCCTCTTCCAAAACAAGGTACTGACAGAGCCCAGAACATTCTACAATTGGAAAGGACTTTCCAAATCATCTGCCCCATGTTACGTGTCAGCAAGCCTAGGAGCCAGGTCCTAGGTCTGCAGGGCTAGTGTTGTGTGTGCTCCCCCGTTTAATGTCTGTTCCACTCATCTGGAAAGCAATGCTCTCTGTGTGACCCTGGGCAAGCCCCGTCCCCTCTCTAGGTCTCAACCTTCTGCCTGTAAAATGGTGGAGCTGGGCGACAGAGTCCTTGAGGCCGTATCTGAGACTGTCTGGTTCACATCTCATACTGCTTTTAAACACTCTTGGGGTTCATGGTAAACTTCCCACTTGTGTATGTGACATCTTTCCAACTAGGATACATGCTCTGTGCGGTGGTGTGAGGGGAGGCAAAGGCCATTTAACGTCCTCAGGTTACCCACAGCACTGCATACATACTACTGTTTACATTGTGGGAATTCAGTTGCTTTTAGCTGACTGAACCAGAGAAGGCCATACTGTTTATTTAAACATTAGGCCACAGATGAGCAAAAGCTATTCTGATATCATATATCCCTACTTAAAACCAGTCAAACCAAAGCCTTGGTCACAGGAAGCCCTGAATGTAGAATACTGCCATCTCTGATTGAAAAAATGGCAATATCGTTTTATTCTACACATTTCTATTTTCTGTGGTATTTGGGCCCAAACATAAATTGATATATGTGTGTATTACTTCATAGCTGGGATCAATTCTTAGTTAAGAGCTTTGGTTTTGAAGCATTAACGAGTCCAGGTGTTTTTATACTTCTCTAAGGAAATCTGCGTGACTGCTCTCAGCCTTGCATGGGGTCAGGCTCACCCAGCACACGCACCAGGTGTGACCATGGCCAGTGTGCTTAAGCTCTGTGCCTCAGCTTCCTACCTCATAGAATTGGTATTAAATGAATTAAATTGGATTCAACGAGTCAGTATTTATAAAGTCCCTGGCACAATGCCTGGCACAAAGAAAGTGCTATTTAATTGTTACAGAAAATAACCGACATATGTGCTAATAACCCTTACAACTGGGGAGCAATTGGGAATGAAAATATAGTTACAAATATCCGCATAGTTCATGAATTCCAAACACTTTTGCTGAGGATGACAGAGGCTAGAATTTAGTCATTTGTTGTAAGACAAATTTTTTCTATACATAAATATGGTAGGTAATGTTTTCTACAGAGTGTGAAGAGATTTCCCTGGCTGTGGATGCAGAGAGAGTTAATGACAAGGATCACAAGTGACAGTAATTACCAAAGCCACACATACAGGGTTCAGAGATTAGTCAGATCTTATGTCTTCGGTATGTCCTTAACGTGCAGGTGACTGTGCATTATCTGCTAATGAAGGAAATCAATGCCAGGGACGCACGGTGACGTAAGGAGTAGAATCATCTGCACACTGCTAACCAGTTGCTCAGTGATTAGAGTTCCTGGCCACCGTCTGGAGGTCAAAGCTACTCTTGCTCACGCTTCACAGGGACTGTGGCAAAATCCTAGGGCTCCTTTATCTTTCTGAGGTATGTTATGGTCTCAGGTCAATAGCATCTATGACATGGAAGGATCAGAAAAGAATAGTCCATAGGGTCAGGACACCCAGTTATAAACCAACCAAACCAAAGCTGGAACTAGCGTGGTTTGAGTTTCCTGGCTCCTACCTGCCTTGAAGCTCGAGCCAGCCCTCGCCCTGGTAGCTAAACACCAAGCTCCAGGCCAAACCTGAGGGTGCCTTCCGCCTACATCAAGAGCTCAAGTCCTGCACCCTGAAAGGGAGCGGGCCCTTTGTCCTCCCCTCACTCCGCTGTCTAGCTGTTTTGGCAGCAAAGCCAAAGCAAACACCAGCCACTTACTAACCC